TGATTGGTTAATGTGATAGAATCTTTTACGTGGGCATTTTATGGAATGCGTAAGAGGGAGGTTAAATCTTGTGTAAGGGTATTATTTTATTACTCATCTTATCCACGGGGAAACACTGATTTGGTGATGTATTTTATTAAATATAAGTATTAATTATTACATGTATTAAAATGTGATACTACACATTACTCTGTCTGCCAATACAAAACTCACTTTAAAATCTCTAAGTGTCATTTATTTTTAAAGAAAAATATTCTAAGTCCAAATAAATTAAAAAAAAAACTAAGACCCAGAGAGTAACAATCTTGAGTAGAGTGTCGCAGATTATGTGTATCTTAAAATCGCCGAAAGAACTGATTTTAATAGGAAAAAATGGGTTTTTATAGTAGACAAGGGTCGTGTAGCGATCCCTAGTGTGATCTTAGAAACTGTAGATCTTAATTAATAGTTAAATGTGATTGACTGGACCTAATTGAAAACCCACCCATAAGCGTTACTTTGAATCTGTACGATAATCAGATTTAATTGCTTAATTTATTGATTATTTTAAGTTTTAAATAAGGGAACCCTGTTTTGGCGATCTTGTGAATTCATAATATATGACATACATGTACAAAAGATAACATAATATAATATTTTAATATTATAAGTAATAATATATTATTACAGTTCCATCGGTACTTTGCAGATACCATGACACGTTTAAGGGCACTGGCCCAGGGCGAGTGTTCTGTCGTTCTTTTAGTAAACGTTGTCGACGCACTGAGGTGGTCGATTGATATCTAGAGTACTCATGCAGAAGATACTCTACTGTTATGTGTCGATGGTACTCTACGAATAACACGACATGTTAAGGGCTATTTGCGCAATATTCACTATATTATTAATAAAATGTAAAAAAATTAATAAATGAGATATAGCTATAGACCTAACGTATAACTATTATTTAAAAAAAAAAATCAGCTAAAAATATTAACTGGATCAAAAGTTATTTAAGTTGTCAGTGAGTGGTGGGCCACTCTGTATATTATGTTCATTATTATAAGTATAAGTATTATACTACTCGTTATAAGTATAGAGAGTACAAGATTATTCTTTTAACACTAATCATACTCAATTTCTCATAAAATTATACATTTTTTAAATGTTTTGGGACGTGAAAAGAGGGCTATTTGTTGATTTTTTGCTTCATGGTTAAAAGATGAATTTAGCAGAATATTGTAAGACTTTAAAAAAGCTGCGATTTGCAGTTTAAATCAAAAAGCGTGGCTTACTGATAACGTTCGTATACATATGGCAAATCAACTCAAGAGCTTTCATACCATTTGGCTAAGAGCAATTGGATCACCCTCCATACTGTCCTGATATAGTATTCAGTGACTATATTTGTTTCTGTACTTGAAGATGCATCTGGTTGGGTACTGCTATAACTATGACGACAAAGTCAAAACGACCGTTTTGCAGTAGTTATCTAATCAGACATCAATAATCTTTGAAGAAGAAAAACAAAAGCTGGTCCAACGATACCTATAACGATAGCAAATGCCTCAATATTAATGGAAATTATGTCAAAAAGTAGAGTAAAATGTGGACTTTCATATGAATTAAATTGTTTTTAAAATGTTTACTTATTTTGTTTTTATTTATAAACAGTACTTTAAACACATATCTCGTATAATTAACCCTTTAGCAGGTGCGTGCCTATTTTTAACGTTCATAGTCGCGTGGGGGTCTATTAAACCCCATTTCTAAAAAAGTGTAAAATATGTATAAAAAATTAAATTTTTTTAATTCAAAGACATTATTTGTTACCATATGATATATAAATATGGATAAAAATTCAAAAATCAAAATTAAAAAATAAATAAATTACAAAATTATGTGGATTACTAAAAATTATATTACAAAAAAAACTTAATTTTCAAAATTTCATTAAAAAATTTTGGTTCGTAAAAAAATTATTTTAACTACAAAATCTTATTTTTAAGACGGTAAACAAAAGCTTTTACTATTACAAAATGTATTTTAATTAATTTTTCTTGTATTTCTTTGAGCTCAAACACGGCTTATATTTATTAGGTTTATGTGTATTTACATTTTTCTAAATTGAATTTTTTTGTTATTAATATTATAATACATTTAATTATTATGATACTAGTATATACAATCATTCGTTCGAAGTAGCACATCGACTACCGATAATCAATGTGGACACATTGCGACGCGATGTATTTATTACATGTTTTGTTCTTATTTGTTCCGTATCATCGAGTAGTGGAAATTCGCAATAGATTATTTATTTTTAAAACTTAATTGTACAGTCGGTGGCAGATCCACATAATTCCAATTCCACAATATTATATCGATTATAACATTACATTTACAATATTTTGAAAAAAATCCAAGTCCAAAAAAAAATTATAACGTTAGAAGTCGCTGAGGGGTAAATATGACCCATTTCAAATTTGATGAATATTTTAAGTCATACATTTTTTTTCGAAGGTATTTATTAATGAAAATCGATTCAATATTACTATAAAAACCATCTTCTAAATGTATATTTATGTACACCTTTTATACAATATAATACATCCGTTTATATTTATGTGGGGGTATGCTAGACCCCCACGCGACTGTTTAAGGGTTAAGGTTGTTAGATTTTTTTTTTATATTGTTAATTAATAGTTAATGGCTATTTTTATTTACAAAATTTAGAAATATTAAAAATTAAAGTAATCGCAACTTCCTTTGTCAAAAGGCAAATAAGCCTTTTTTGTTTAGTATGATTTTTATAACAGACTAAGCGGCAAATCATATGTTATAACTAAAATAAATTTGATATTATTGTTCAAGATGGTATTAATAGTGATTAATGACAATAGCATACATTTTTTATGTCATAATAAATACGAGTATTTTGATTTTTAATTATTACTTGATTAGTATAGTGTGTGAAAATTTGTCTACGTGATATTCATTGAAATAGCGATGATTGAATCTTTGTTGGTGATCTATTAAAGAATTCATTATAATTGTGATGTCCTAATGAAAACTTAGCTAATACTTAATACAGTTTTCTTCTTCTTTTTCCTCACTTTAATCCCAACTACTTGAGGTCGGCAACCCTTATCTTAAACTTCCACTTGACACCATCACGCACATCATCTACCCTCACATCATCCGTCCTCATATCGCATTCACACCTATTCTATCTTCAACATTCATCTCAATAACTGTTAATAATTTTTGTATTTCTCAGACCATAAAAAGAAAATTCACTGATTCCAGAGCACATTTAATTTTTGTTTTATGCAATAAAAAAACCTTATTTTAAATATGTGTATATCTAAATAAGATATTACAAATAAGTCAATAATGAGATTGGTGGTAGTAATAAAATATGACACATCCTTTGTTAATTGGTGTCCGACGATATAATCTCAATTTTAGGGATTCGTTGCCTATTATACAGGGTGTTCAGTAAGTCAGGAAACGGGTTTCTATTGTTCTCATTGTTTGTAACAATGAGAACAATNTAAAGGCAAAAGGCCATACCTTTCTTCTCATTCACTTCTTTTGAGTGGTTCGGGTCTAGGAAACGAAAACATTTCGGTTTTAATTTAAATATTAAGTTAAATTAAGATTTCAGCGGCGTTCTCAGAATATTTTTGGTTTCTGTAATCATTATTTCAATATGTACTAAAAAAAAATCGGTATAAATTATAAATTAATTAATTACTTATAAGAAAAAATGCTAAAAACTTAATTTATTTCAGTTATTAGTCATGGATTCATTAAGGTTCATATTATTCTCAATTTGACAATCATGAAGTATTTTTAATGGTCATCCCTTATAAGGGTTTCGAATTAAATTTATGATATAATTAAAAAAACGACTGGTCGAAAACAACTTTTTGAACAGTTTACGGGATTTATTGTCATATTTAAACATAGGCAAGAGCAATTCAGAAATGGCTAATGAAAAATTTAAATACCTACTTCTTTTCTTCATTAGATATTTCAAAATTCTATTAACTTCCAAAATAATTATTGAAAAGTTGTTATTGATCAAACATTTATTTTATTAGAATTAATAAATTGATAATAATTATTATAATAAGCATTTAATTTGGTATATAGCCATTTGAAAAAAATTAAGTCGACATCCTTTTAAAGTAAAAGGATGAATATAAAAAAAATACTTCATGACTAATAAATTGAGAAAAATATGGAGCTAGAGAACTGATCAAAAATTGATTAAAAATTATTAAATATCAACTTCTTTAATATTTATTTTTTCACATATTAAACTTTTAGATCATAGAACTACTATTAAGGAAATGAGAGTTGATGTTGCTTTTGTTATTATTTAACAATAGAATAATGCATCGAAGCGTTTCTTATGATAGTGATTTTAATAATTGTGAAATGTTATCTATACTTGTGTTAACTATTCTACCTCCATACTGTGCCGCAACCCCATTGTGTTACCGTTATTTATTTAATAACTGAATCAAAGATGAATTTCGTACAACAATTAAAATGTTTTTTATAATGATTTTAATATTTAAAAAAAACTTATTATAACTTTTAAGGAGAATATGAGAGGCCTAACAGTATTTATTTTGATATTATTAAATAATTAACTGGGTACAGTAATATTATTATAGAAAACAGTATAAAATGAATTTTCACTTATGTGAAAATTAGTGTAGTGTGAGTTCAAAAGGGACACATTTCTTTCTTGGTTTATTTAATTGTCCTTTTACTCAATATTTTGCCATCTTTCAAGTTATGCGAACCGTTGTCGTTGTACATATCTTATTTTATATGCATTAATATTTTATATTTTATACTATTGTACTACGAATAATTTCTTATTTTTTAATTATATAACCTATTCCTTTCAACACGATAATATATTGGTTTTTTAATTAAAAAAAATTAAAATTCACGCAATCGGATTTTCCAAAATTAAAATTATTACCGTGTTGAAATTATTAAAAATTATTATGCTGAATTAATGGATGAAATAAATATGAGTCTGAAAAAAATTTAACAACCGTAAAGTATATTTTATATTTTACAAGATTTTAATATGACAAAAACACATATCTAAAGAGTTATTTATAGAATCATTAATTTTGAAGATTTAATTAAATAAATAATGATTTATTAATTTACTGAAACCTAAATCGTAATCAATTTTTAAAAATTCTTCACAAATTTGTTTTAAATGCGAACTTACTTTTTGATATACAAAGCCATGATAAACGGAATCAATGTAATAATTTGGAGCATATTGGTATGATTTTATTAATTCAAATTTATCTAAAATTGGTTGGTCAAAATCACAATAATTCTTGAGAAATTGATTGATTTTATTATTTGATAATAAATTAACAAGACAAGATCGAGTAAATTGAATGTTATTTAAAAATTGCATTGCTTCTAATTCATTAGACTCAACAATCGGAGATGTATTTTGGTTTTTGAAAGCATGATAATATGCTGTTAAAATTTCTGTAACTTTTATTAAACATAATTGAGATGTTAGCTTATAATCCCAAATGGATGCCTTTTTCAATAATGCAAGAGTTGCGAGTAAAGAATTTAACATAGTTGTAACAGATGGTATTGTGTTTTTCAATGTATTTACACAAGTAATTAAATTATCATTATTAAAATTCTTCTGTTCTAACTCACATAAATATTGCATAGCACCTAATGAGGCAAAAACATTTTTTAATAATGCACTATATCTACACTTCAACATTAGTATAACGTCTTGCTTTATACCAAGGAAATTGAATCTATCTACTGTAACATGTCGTATTTCATTTACATCTTTAGTTTGATTGTTCACCCGAATTCTTGTATGAATTAACAATTCCCAAAAACCTTCGTCAAATAGTGTATTTATAACACAGATTCCGAGATCATTCGAATAAACATCATATATTGGTGGTATAAATCTATAAGCACAAAAAATACAGAATAAAGAGTTGTTGTTTACTTATTGGAATATAATCTTTGGATATTTCCAAAGGTTGATTTGTCAACCCTATCAATTTTTTCATAAAGTAGAAAAATATTGTATTTTGATTTATAAAAATATGATAAAATACCAAGATTAAATATATCATGTCACATAATACTTTTGGGAAGGCCTCGCAGTGTCAATAAATGTAAAAATGTGGACAATATATTGTCGAAATTTATGAATTTATATGAAATAAAGTGATCACATAGTAAAAATTGTCTGTCAACACAATATAATGATCAAAACTTGCTGTAAATACTTGTTATTACATGTGGAAGTTAATAGAATTTTAAAATATCTAATGAAGAAAAGAAGTAGGTATTTAAATTTTTCATTAGCCATTTCTGAATTGCTCTTGCCTATGTTTAAATATGACAATAAATCCCGTAAACTGTTCAAAAAGTTGTTTTCGACCAGTCGTTTTTTTAATTATATCATAAATTTAATTCGAAACCCTTATAAGGGATGACCATTAAAAATACTTCATGATTGTCAAATTGAGAATAATATGAACCTTAATGAATCCAAGACTAATAACTGAAATAAATTAAGTTTTTAGCAATTTTTCTTATAAGTAATTAATTAATTTATAATTTATACCGATTTTTTTTTAGTACATATTGAAATAATGATTACAGAAACCAAAAATATTCTGAGAACGCCGCTGAAATCTTAATTTAACTTAATATTTAAATTAAAACCGAAAACATTTCGTTTCCTAGACCTGAACCAAATAAAAAGTTCTCAATATTATTTTTATGTATTATAAAGTTGATCACATTCAATGAATCAGTCTGTATATGATATAAAAATATTCGGGGAAAAACGCCTATTTGATGACAAAAAATTGGTTATAAAATAAAAATATGTATTAATAAATTTCTTTACGTTTCCTCCATCCTTTCCATACTTAAAGAATGGCTATTTTGTTATTAAAAATAATGTAATCATTTTCAATCTTCAATACTAATATAAAATGTTGAAAAAAATTAGCAATCGATACACATTATTAGAGTTATATAGATTAATGTTACCTTTTTTTAACGTCTTAAATCAAAGTATTGTAAAATGTTTAGAGGAATATGTATACAAAAATAATGTAAAAATAGAACATTCAAGAAATTTTTTTGATGATTGATTTTTACGATTTTAATTACATAAATATTAGTTATTAATTTTAATTACATTTTTAACCAACAATTATTTGATTAAATTTTACAAATATTATCAAATTATTATAATCAAATATTATTATAATGCTTACTCAGAGCGATGTTTAAATTAATGCCAATCCTTTTTCAAAAGAACACCATTATATATTTATATATTATAAATATATATCTATATATATATATTATTCATTCATATATTACACTTAATAAAACTTGTAATTAGGATATAAATAAGAAAATAGGAGATTATGTAACTTTTGATATAATCCACCAATTTTTTAAAATTAAACACTATCTACAGATTTGCATCGAAGCGTTTTTGATGATAGTGATTTTAATCACTGTCAGATATCATTATACTTGACTCAACTATGTCACATCCCCACTGTGCTGGGTTTTTTTGGTTTTACAAATTATTATATTACAAATGCGTTAGTATAAAACATTACGCATACCACATAAATATATAAAAAGCGTTTACATAAAATATCAAAATTATAAAAATTACATTTTTAATTTAAGTAGATTTAATATAGAGTTGTACTAGAGAAATAGTTACACGCGAGTTGATATAATAATAAAAGTCGTGTAATTTAAAGACGCATACGCATACATATCGCTAACATGACACCATCTAAATGATTCATTTCAACATAATATTTGTCTTATCAGGATAATTAGAGGTAAATGAAAATATTCATTTACATAATAAATCTATAATAAAATCTTCATTGCAGGATTTTGAGTAATAAACAATTATAGTGAGGTAGGTTGTCGAAATTAAATTAACTAAAATATTCCTATGAAGAAATACTTTATTTGTAACTCGCCAGAAATTCCTGTATACATTATTGCGTAGTAGTTAGATAGTAATATTTCTATGATATTTCATCTTACTCATATATATCAGACATGTCTATGTAGGTATACATACACCGAGATCTCTTTATATTTCATTATATTATTGTCGCTATCCTGTACCTCTGGCCACTTTTAGTTTTCTATATACTAAACCACCACCACTTTTACTTTTATTTATGACTAATCATAAATTTTAATTAATGACTAATTTATTTTATTTATAACTAATCTCCCTTTATCTCTTTCGTCAACTGTTTACGACACTCCCTACAGCAATTATCATTTCTTTTTGTTTATAACAGCCATTAATTTTTCTCAGTTTTCACTTGGACTAATTTGTTCAACAATACGTGAAATTATTACAATTTGTATCTAATTGATGATATGACTCTCATAAAATTGAAAAAAAAATTCCACTTTATTATTAAAAAAGCCACTTAGTTCACATACTCCATATAGATAATTAAAATCATCACTTCTAGTGTTCTTAATATATTTATTGACGAATTAAGTTTGATATGATAACAGATATCAACTACAAAATTATATAATTTTACGGTTCAAACTAGTCCGTCAAATGGTTTTTTTTGCATTTTTTTCTTAATCTTTTTAAGATTGAAAAAATTGAAAATTCGTTTAATTTTTATTTTATTTAGATACAAAAACTTCAATGAATATCAAGGCTCTCATTAATGTAGTTTCCCAAATTTAAAATCGGTTATAATGGGTTTAGAAAAGTATATTGTAGGACTTAGTAAAAATTCTTTGTAGACCAGTATTTTTATTCATAAGTACAAAAACACTTCTTTTCAAAAGTTTTGCATCAAGCTTTTTCTAACTTTATTTATGTGTATTACTACCAGTTTATAATATTCCAATTTTTTTGGTATTATATTGCTATATAAATAATTAAAAAAAAAAAAATGATATTTAGTTTCATCAGATTTAAGAATGGATTTTTATTATTATAATCATATTTTATGGAACGCTCAATTGAGTAGATTTTTTTAACAATTTTTTATTGGTTTCATTATTTAACTAAATTTAGTTATTTAGATATTTCGAAAAGTTGTTTAACAAAAGTATATTTTTGATTCCGATGAAAGTACCTTGTATACCAATGTTTATTACCAATTTGATAAGTTTTGCATCGAGATCTTTAATTTTTATTTATGTTTGTCATAGATGTAATGATATTTGTAAAAACTTTATTTTTTATAGTTTCTCCGTAAATGTAAAATATTAAATTACATAATATCAATTTCATATTATATTTAACTTCTATAATAAGTATTTATTTACATATTATACTAATAAATTAAAGAACTACTTATCAAGATATAATTAAGGAAATACGAGAATTTGTGAATGAATAATCATTTTTTTTAAAATTAAACACTATGTGCAGATTTGTATCGAAGCGTTTCTTATGATAGTGATTTTAATCACTGTCAGATATTATCTATACTTTTTCCAACTGTGTCACGTCCACATAGTGCCGTGACCCCACTGTTCTACCATTTTTTTTTTACATATGACAATTATTTCCAGATTTAGTTAGTTTTTTTGATTTCCAAACCAAGTGACCAATTTTAATTTGCAAAATATTTGTGTGTTTACTTTTTATTATTATTAAAATATTTTATCTAGTGTCTAAAGCAAAATTTAAATATACTATAAAACACTAATATTACATAATAGTGTAAGAAGTATTTTGACAAACTCTCTAAAATTTAAAATTCAATTTTACGAAAAAAACTGCACCAATTTCGATTATTTAAGGTTTACGTATTGTTTATTAGTTCTTAAGTAAAATAATAACAATGATGGTTTTGAATATGAATCTTTTTCTTCTTTTTCCTCGCCTTAATCCCAACTATTTGGGGTCGGCCACCCTTATCCTAAACTTCTACTTGACACGATCTCCCACATCCTCTGCGCTCACATCAGATGTCCTTATATCGCATTGAATAACATCTCCCCATCTCTTTTTTGGTCTTCTTCCACCTCTTCTCCCTTCAACATTCATTCCTACAACTGTTCTTACGACTTCCTATTCTTCTCTTCTCATAACATGACCAAACCATCTAATTCTATTTTATCTCATCTTATCCACGATTGACGCTATATCCATACTCCCTCTTATATGCTCATTTCTTATCCTATCTTCTCTAGTCACTCCACTCATCCAACTAAGCATTATCATCTCTGCTACACTTATTCTCTGCTCTACTTTCTTATCAACCGCCCAACACTATGAACCATACATCATAGCTGGTTGTAATTCTACAATCTTGTAGAATTTACCTTTTACCCTCATTAGAATTTTTTTATCGCATAAGACACCAAACGCTTCTCTCCACTTCAACCACCCGCACTTAATCCTGTGTTTTACATCCTCGTCAATACCACCGCTCTTTTGCACAACTGATCCTAAATACTTAAAACTTTCCACCTCTCCAATTACGTCCTCGCCTATTGCCACTGATCTCCTTATTTCACCTAACTCGTGTTCTCCTTTGCCAAACTCGTACTCTATTTACTATATACAAGAGCTGATCTCCACACCTCTAGCCTTTAATTAATTTCCTCCCTATTTTCTCTTATTAACTCTATATCGCCAGCAAAACAACATGCACTACGGTACCTCTCTTTGTATTTTTCTAGTAATTTCATCCATCACTATAGAGAATAAGTAACGGCTTAAAGCAGAACCTTGGTGCATTCCTACTCTTATCTGTAAACCTTCTGTTACTCCTCCTACGTTTTTTACCCTGGTACATGTGCCATCATACATATTCTCTATTATATTAATGTACCTTTTCGGGATTCCTTTTCTCATTAATGCCCACTTTAAAACCTCTCTTGGTTCTCTGTCATACGCTTTCTCCAAATCTATAAATACCATACAAAGCTTTTTCTTTTTTCCTCTAAACTTTTCTACTAGTTGCCTCATACAAAATACTGGCTCCATTGTTGACTTACCAGGCATAAATCCAAACTGGTTTATGGTTTTGAATATGTATATTTAAATAATAAATATATATAAATTTTCATAAATCCCAACATTTCAAAGTCAAATTCAAAGCAGCTTATAAATTTCTTACAAAATATATCTAAATAGTTAAGTTAAAAAACATGATGAAAAAATCATCATCATCAAGAATCCTGTGTCAATGTAGAAAAATAATAGTAAAACACGTGTTCCTCATTATACAGTGAGTGAATCACATAGTCTAATCGTATAAAAATTGATTTACTTTATAAAAAGCATTACATAAAAATAATAAATGTATATATAAATTTTGATTTATAAATAAACATTACCGTGGTGTTGTGGGATGTAGTAAGTTGTGAAAACCAAGATTGACGTATTCGAAATAGATAGCTTCATTATAAAATATTTTAAGCTCATTACAAATTTCTTGAACATAGATATCATTCTTCTCTAATTTATACTGCCAAGTGTTATATCTATTGTTTTTAATAATAATAAATACAATTTTTGGTGTTAAATCATTTTGAAAATATTTAACACTTACAAAATCATTATAGGCTTTTATAGTTTGAGGATTTCCATTTTGATCGATATAATCATGAATATCCAATTTTCTTTTAGTTTGAATGTAATTAACAATAAAAGAAAGTTTATTAATAACTTTAAACTGTTCATCATTAAATATTTGTCTTGTTTCATACTTTTTAAACGCCAATCCTATATTTAAATTACTAAAAAATTGCATAACATTATTAAGATTTTCAAATAAAGCCCTTGAACTTTCTAATGCGTCATCAAGTGTAATAATGCAATAAATAAAATCATAATATTGTTTTTTTGAATGATAGTTATCGCAATGATGGATTATCAAACCAATATTTTCACGGAAAATTTTCAGAACAATTATATACCTACAAATAAGTAATTCAATAATAGCATTAAATATTCTAGGAAAATTTGCATCATTTAATTGAAGATCGAGGTCTTGAAATGAATCAAAATTTTCCATTAAACCGTCTGTTAAATGTTGCATCGAAGTATTTTTATCTTGAAATCGAATATAATTCACTATTTCAAATAAATATTTAGTATAATCTCCTTTATTTGCTGGTCTGCAGCTTGTTGTATTAAATTGAATTGTCCAAAATAGAAGAAAATTGAAAAAATATATTTTTATGATCATTTTTGATTCAATTAAAAAATTAAAATATAAACTTTTTAATAACTTATTAGCTATATATATATATACATTAGTTATTTTCATATTTAAATATGTGCATTAAAGTTATCGACTATTTGTAAAGGTGTACTCTAAATTCAAATTACTTATTTAAACAAATTTAGAATGGGTTGAGATATTTAAGAAACAACCGTTTATATTTAAAAATTAAGTAAAATGTAAACAATTCTTTATAAGACTTAAATTTTTTTTTTTATAATTATCTTATTTGAAAAATTTTCTAACATTTAAGCAAGTATAATATGTATCTTGCCTTTTAAAAAAAATCTCTTATATAAAAAATTCTAGTTCAAACCAAATTATTGGTAACAATCATATCTTAAAATGATTATATGATGATTCGATTGGGAAAAAATTTTATGAATAATATTGTTTATAACTTAAATATTTAAATTGATAAGCTTAATATTAAATTGAAGTCATAAAGTTTGGAAATAAATGTAAATCTTGAATTTTGATATAATTATAGCGATTTGTAAAAAGGATATGCATTAAGGTTATGTTAAAAACCTATGTATTTATACTAAATACTTGAAAATTTCATCATTTTTTCATTATGAGGTCTTCTAACATGTCCAGTAATTAATTAAGTATATTACTGTTACAGCAGTAATATTAAAATTTGACAATTTTAAAAATATTCTAAACTATTCTAAAAATATAATTACTAATATAGCAGTAATATTTTCAATAATTTCTTAAGAAAGAAGAAGTTGTTCTGACCCCATGCATCTCATAAAACCAGTGTTTGTAAAATACCATGTCATTAACTGTCCATAAACATGTTAACGTAGTTTTTCTTCAGTTGGACATAAAATTGAATAATAAAAATTTCACACAATATTGTTACAGATGTTGACTTTCTATGATAAAAATTTCAACTTTGGTATTTTACCAAAACCGAAAATTAACTTTGAAAAATCTCTTTTTTTTAATTTATTATGTTGTAAATTATTGTATACACCCAATATTTTATCATTTTTATCACTGAGATTTTATTAATAATTAAATTGGTTTAAAAGTATAGTTCATTATTGTAAAATGTATGGTTCATGGAATGTTCTATATAATTTAGATGCGATAACATAAATTTTTCGTCACAATGTAATCCGTAATGATCTACTTTATCAAATCATGGTAAATGCGTTAAACAAAAATATGTAGTTATATATGTTTATATTTAGATGCATAATTGCTTTTATTTAGTTTTTCATTTTTGGCTTACTATAAGATAAGTTTTCTCTTTAAAAGGCTAATAACAACACAGATTCTGTGTCAGTATGTTTGAAAAATATTAATGATTTTTAAATATGATGAAAAACAATTATTATTTCGAAGGGTACATCAAAATATTACCACCATATGTGAGTACCACTGTTAAGAACCATGGAATATTATTTTATAATTGCGTAGAGTATAGAATACATGGTCTTCCGACTAACGTCGGACACAGGAATGTGCTGACTAAGGGATTTAGGGCAAACATGGGCAAAGGACTCCCACTGTGGGTCCCCTACAGTCAGTCGTGCTTTAGTATGCGCTAATTTACACATATGTGTTATCCCATGTCATAATTCTACTTAATTCTAATTCATTCTACATAATTTTATATCATTCTATTTCATTATCCTATTAAGATACATTAAGATAATGACCTTGTAGAAATGTTATCTGATTCACTAAATCAAAGTTTCAATGACGATTTATTCCTTCGGGAGAAGAAAGATTAATAGATGATTGTTCCTTCAAAACAAGATAAAATAAAGATTATTAGTTTATTGCCAAATTCGTGGACACTAGATAAAATCTGTAGAGAGTATAATGTCTCCGAATATATGTGCATGTGGTATATATATATAAATTTACTTAATTTGTTAGACTATTTTAACACGCTTATATTAGTTTCACATATATGCGTGTTTGTAACTTTCCACGCGGCACTTGTTATTATACTCCCGTACACGTCGTCTATGACCTTGAGACTAGACGTCGTAACGCATTCACCCCACCCTGCTCACCACACGACAGAAACACTAATCCTGTATAATTTTATATTTTTGGTTTTCGTACCCGTAACGCGTGCGNACACGCTTATATTAGTTTCACATGTATGTTTGTTGTTTGTCGTTTGTTGTTTGTAAGTTTGTAACTCCACGCGGCACGTGTTATTATGTCGCATATCCCGTCGTGTATGACCTTGAGACTAGACTGTCGTAACNCCAATCCCCCCGCGTGTAATGCGCCTTACGTATATATTTATTATTTATATATTTCTACCGCCGCTGCCGCCGCTTATACCATAGGTATAACGTTCCCCCCGCCCACAAAACAAGGCTATACCTAGTGCATGATACGTTTACGTACTTAAGTCGCTTTACATGTATATATATATATTCTAATTACTATTAAAAATATATATTAACACGCTTTACTCTCATTAAAAGATATAGAGTGTATTCATTCAGATTACAAAGGATGATTCCCGTATCGTCACTACCGCCATGTTCCGGGAGTGGGTAATTTACGCGCCTGCTGCTTTTCTTGGATGTGGTAGCCGTTTCTCAGACTCCCTCCCCGGAATCGAACCCTGTTTTCCCGTTACCCGTTACAACCATGATATTGATAGTAACTATCATAACATGAAACTAAAAAGTAAAAAATAAATATAGTTTAAAAAAACTAAAAAAACACGCTTTTAAAGTACATCAAACTAAAAAGTTAAAAATAATTTTTAAAATAAGCTTAAAAAAATAATGAACGAAAAATACTAGTATTATTGTGATAAAAGCGTCGGGCGCTCAATATACGAAAAATATGGCACAAAGCACCCACGCTTTTATTAAATAATACTAGTATTTTTCGTTTATAATTGTTTTAAGCTTATTTTAAAAATTATTTTTAACTTTTTAGTTCGATGTACTTTAAAAGCGTGTTTTTTTAAACTATGTTTTGTTTATCAAATTAAAATTAAAAATCAATATATTGGTTTTCATTTATCGTTATATACAAATATACCAATCAATTCGCATGAATAATATTTTTCAGTAATAACTTGAAATATTGTCGCTAAATAGTAGTTAAATATTTTTATTTCTAAATTATCGATAACGGCTTCTTCATTTTCGGATAGTTGTAAGCGATATAAACCAATAAGTTAGATTTGTTATTAAAATAATATAGATTAAATCAAATTAATTTTACTATCAATGGCTGCGAAGACGTTGAAGATGATGCACAAAACGTGAATAAAGTGAAAGAAATGGTTATAAACGATCGGCGAATCACAATTAAAGAAGTCGATGATGATGTTGAAATACGATTGACTCATGCTATGAAATTTTTTTCAATGTATTGAGTATGAAACGCGTAGCAGTAAAATTTGTGACCAAAACTATTGAATTTTGAACAAAAACAGCTGTGAATGGAAGTTTCTTAAGAGTCACTAAATGAAGTCAACGACGATTAAACAATAAAGTGTACGGATTTATCTAGTGCCGGTAATCTTCAACGGACTGTTGGCCGGCAGACATTCATCTGTATTTATATCAATGCAGTCAATCGCCGATTAGTAATAAGGCATTTCGGGTTTTGTTTAAAGGAGAAATTGAGGGACGCACAACACGGCCAATGTATTATCATATTGGTCCGGTTAATATCCCAAATCCTTACAACGGTAATACTACGGCCGCATCAATTTAAGTTTGACAAAATCTGATTGTACCATTTTATAAATTATATATTTAGACATATATAATATGTCATAACATATAAATATGTTCCATGACACAAATTATAAGATGAAATTTCAGTTTTTTTATCATAAAAATGATCGCTTAAAGCGGTTTTTGAAAAATCTATTAGTATGTGAATTTTATCTCCTAATTTAAATCTTAGTATCTGAAATAAATCTAAAGGCGTTTATTTTTAATACTATATTAGTAATTTGTCATAAAAATATATAGCTGTCCCCTTAAAAAATGTTGGATATACTATACAATTTTTAATTGGAAAAAAAATTTAATAGTAAACATTTTTTTTGTTTATTTCTTTATTAGCAAAACAATCTGTACAATTTTGACAGTAAGTTATTTAATTGTCAAGTTATGTATGTACATAACTGTAAATAAGATACATTATGTACATAAGATATGTATCTTGAGGAAATAACATGCGAGAAAACCACCCATTGTAATGGATGTCTTTTTACTTACAGGCGTGTTACCATTGTAACCCCCAGTAAGTAAAAATATTTAAAAAATAAATCGTTTTAATAATCCTATATGACATGCTTATAGTTAATTATTAGGTTTAATTTTTCAGAATAGTATTTTTTTAATACAAAAAAAAAAAACAACTTTCCTCAATTGTCAACCTGCCCTGTTTTTGTACATATTTCGTACATAGAATTATTAATTTTTTTTTTAATTATGAAAATAAATGACACTAATTTAGAAAAACTTTGGATTTTTTACATTTTATCGTTAGATGAGGTTGTTAAGGGTGTAGTGGTGTATCGTAAACACAATAACAGTAGACAACACAAGCTGGTTTTCTTTAGAATAGGTGACGGCCTTTTGTTCATTTGCATCGAGTCATCGTCGTCCGCGCCAAACTTGCTGGACTTTGAACCGCAGACTATTGCACTCCACTGTTGGTCAGTCAAACTATCATGTACAATGTACATATTGACACGGCCTGCAATAGCGCACTATTCATTTGTTGTGAATTAGCACGTTACCGGTCGTGATTATCAGCTGTCCATAGTAGTGACTCAAAAAGAAAGAATAAAATAAATTTGAATATGACGGTTGGGTGCTTATTTGAACCACTACTTTATTGTATTAATAATATTATTACTCGGAGTATGAGTACGAGGGTCTGTAAGAAAGATAAAAGATGATAGAAAAATAAAACTATCTATGTTTTATTAATGTGGGATTTTATTATAATTAATTGTCAATACTT